TATATATATATATATATATATATATATATATATATATATATATACTACACATTTATTTCAATAAATACGTTTTTTCCAAAATATTTTTCAGCACTCACTTAGAATTATTACCAACTGATATTAATCTTATCAAGTGTAGATTGCATGCAATTATCGATTGATTACACTTTTTAGCACTAAATCTTTCAAAAAAATGTATTATCTAAATCGTACAATATATAATCTATACATCTACTGAGCTTATAAGCTAAAAATAAAGTTATTACTTCAAATAAAGTTTTACTGTAAATAAAACATCGAAGAAAAAGTACTTTTTCGAGTAATTATAGCCGCAAAAAAGGAAATACAAAAGAGATCTAAAAATACAGTCGAATCTGTTCAAAGTAAAGTTCTCATTGCGTGTTGCAGCGCTATCAGAGATTTTGGTATTTGAGGAACTAAGCAAGAGATTAATTGAGATATATCACAGAATTTGGACGACAAAATATGAAATTGAAGCATACTCCCTCATTTTCTGCACAAATTAAACTTTCATATGTGAAGAAGTATTTCTGAACGCGAAACATCTCTCTTCAACTTTGAATATATCAGAAATATAATGCGTTAAAATTGAAATTTCCATACAATGCTTGTTTAAAATGAACGATTTGATTAGCATTGATCAGAATTATTTTTTGCTCTGCTACACTAAAAAGATTCTGCGATACAAATTATTTGCTAGAAGCAATGCTATTAAAATAGGTCTGAAATTTTGAATTAAACAAACAATTTATGCTAAAAGTAATGGTTGGCTATTTCACGTCAACTTTTTAATTTTTAATAAAGCAATAATTGAAATATTGCTATTTCATCCAGTTTTACAATTAAATACTTGAAAACTCTTTAATAGTTTACAGAAATAAAATACTGACAAAATCATAACTTCACGTCATTGTTTACTGATTACAAGTAACTTCATTTGATAGATTAATGTAATGTTAAAGATTAGTTTAAAATGCATAAGTTTAACGCATTGTTAACGTATGCATTGAATCTAAAATTAGCTAATAAATATAATTCAAAACAAAAATTCAAAGAAAGTAGCATTAACGTGACTTTTATTTATTCCTTAACAATAATTCTTCTTACGAATTTGTATCTTTTCGTATTATCTGTTACAAACATACGCTTCTTATAATTTTATTATTGTATTATGGGAACAAAAGTGATTTAATTACTTGCAATTATTTATATTATTCAAAAGCAACTGTACAGTGCTGCGCACTATGAAAAAAGATCAATCCCAGTTGTGAGATAGTATCGAAATTTCAGTAAAGTTATACTTTCGAAAGGTCATAACTTATTTCAGTTTCTCTTATTTTGCTAAATCTTTGCAATAAATCAGCTTAATTATCTGGTATCCTTCACCTAATTCAATAAATCGAAAAAAGCAAGAAAAAAATACGAAATTTTAACAAATATATATTGTTATTTTGTTGATCGCTTTTCAAAAATTTTTCTACAAATTTTCTTATTATCAATTAATGCTTATTGTATTATTTAAATATGATGATAGAATTGTTGTACTGTATTCTTTAATTTGCCTTACAATAAGTAAACAGTAGTAAATGGTAAAATCAGATGAAATTTATAGTAAACAATCACTGTATTTCGATCATTTGATTCATTTTAGAGTTTAGGAAGTGGAAAGCTAATTTTTTGTCATGCGAAAATACTTGGATGCAAAATGACAATTGCTTAATTTCCCAGGAGAAAAAGAAGAAAACGCGATACAACACTGCGAAAGAAGTAAAAATATTGAGAAGGAACAATTTAGTAAGAAATCATTTTGACAAGCTCTTGCTGACGACATTTCCATACTTATTTTTTAATTCATTTCTATGTAATTTTCATCTTTTGCAGCTAAATTTTTGAATGTTTTGCTGAAACAAACACAAATTAAATGAATTTTATACAATTTACAAAAATTGTATCAATAATAGGTCAAATGATGACCTATTATCTGTGTGATATAGTTGGGTACGAAAAGTAAAAATCTTTTTCCTGTTAAAATAATATGCGTAATTTTAGATGAATTTGTATATTCTTAGGGAATATTATCAATTATTTCAGTAGTTATCTATTGACTTTAGCTAAAGTTTTTGGTGTTATTCGATTTTGATGACGCAAAAGCAAGTAAAATTTTTCATGCAGTTATTTTCCTGTAAATGTGAATCTGAAATATAAATATCAGTAATGAAAGTTATTAGTTATTAAGCATACAAAATGTCATCTATTTGTTTTATTCAAAATAATTGAATAGACAATAAATGCAGAAGAGAAACGGAAATCACATTTGGCAAATAATCAACAACTCTGACAACTAAAAGTTTGCACAACAATAGAAAAAATTTGCATATACATTATATACACATATACATAATATATATGTGAAGTGATGGAGTAAGTCAGATGCAACAAATGATAAAATAGTTTATTGGCAAAAGGATGAGAGAAAATAGTTAGAGTATAACAAATAGAAGGATTCATGCACAATGACTAGGCCTTTCAAGCTAACAACAACTAGGCTAGCTAGGCCGAATCGATCAGTGTCTTGAGTTTGAGTCAATTGTGAGTTAGACAAGAAGCTACTCCATGCGCAGCAAGCTGTTATTCTGCAATTTAATTAACATTTCATCCCAGAGAAATGTGCATGTTCAAATTTAAATCGGAACAACTTCAATGTGTCTGAATGAATCAGAATAGCTTACAGTAAGCGAGTATTCTGCATTTTCTTTATAGAAAACTGTGAGTTGCAAGCAATACGGCGATAATCTTCAATATTAATTTAGACTTTACACAAAAAATATTATTGAGTTCGTTCGTTACTTCCGCTTGCTTAGTTTGTAATTGAAGAAAAAATATTTGGTACAATGAGAATACAAAAATTGTACAAAAATTTTTCACTTTGAAAACAATAATTAAACGACAAAAAGCAAACTTAAATGATTAAAGAGCGTAAAGATACGTGCTCAATGCAAGCTACAATTATTGCCATATACTGAGATTATATGTTTTGCATAATTTTTTGCGTTATATAACTTATTCGGGACGAATTTAACGTACAAAAATATTGAGCACACTTTTTTGTAAATAAATTATTCACAGCAATTAATAGTATTAAAGGATAAAAACTTTTGCATCAGCTTACCAAAACAATAAATATAGGCTGTTATAATTATACATAATAGCTTTGAAGGAAGAACATTGTAAATATTGCGCACCTGGCAACCAGAACTTCATAACAAGTCCAAACTTTAGTTTCGCTAACATTGCACAAAATAAAAATTGATATTCATAATTATATTATGTCATTACCACTACATTTCGATAATAATTATTGATGAGATCAACTATTTGAATGAGCTGCAAAGCGTGCAGGCTTATATCCCTTTCATTTGCACTGATTCGATCTGCAAAAATTATTATCAACTTCAGCATTTAATAACATTGCTGAAATCCTATACTTAATCTCGAAAATCTGTGATAAATTTTGTAATATAGTATATTGAAAACATTAATGTTTAAAACATTTTCATTAATATTAAAAATATAGTGCCACTTAATCCGTAAAACAGTGTAGTTACTTGCTAGAGTTGCTTGTACTACCGCAGTGACAGTTGGACTATTGACAATAGCTGTAAAAAGTGCACTGGCTTATAATTAATAAAACAAAGAAAAAATAGGAAAAGAAGGCAGTTGGAAAAGTCAGAAAGCACGCGAAAAATGCGTGCAGAGACAGAAATCTGTTGAGAGGCAACAGTTTTTGCAGTAATTTGCCGAATTCAAGCAAAGAACCACGTGAGGATCTTTGATGGATCTGAATAAATTATAGAGAAAGAGGTGTATTGCAATTCTCAACAAACACATTTTATGACTTGCAAACAAATATGAGCAAAGTTTAAAGATTGATCACAAAGTTTTGATTAAATCACAATATGAAAAGGATTTGCATTTCATTACATTGCACATAAAATTCAACAAAAAGTGCTGCTAGCAATGCCACGTTTGTTTGAGCCAAAATTAGTGTTGCTTTCTTCCGACAAGACGCAAGTGATACTTCTCGTTCAAACTTGGCTGATTTGAACGTGAAATTGGACTTGAGCGCTCATTTAAGGCAAAATTTGTTGCAGAACCGACGAAGGACCGAAGCACTGATCAATTTCGGTTTGTAGAGCTTCTCAAGTGCGACGCAGTGATGAAAGGCGCAGTCGTGGCATCAGTCTCCGTGACGAATATTCTTCTTGCATTGCTGACACTGTTGGCGCTGTCAGATGCACAGAACACAGTATGGCACAAATTTCGCATTTTTTCAAAATTTTGCACAAATTATTAATAAATTTACTTCAACTAAATTCATCAGTGATAATTTTTTAAACTCTATCGATGGAAAGTGAGAAAAATCATTCTAAAATGTTTCAGACTAGTAATGATTTACTCGCAAGTTCGGACGCTCCATCGCAACTAAATCGTGTAGACACATCCGTGAATCGAGATAACTCGCCAAGACTTGATCTCAAAACAATGTGGCATCCTATTTCGAGCATTAGCGAAGAATGGGAAATTGGAAATCCCCGAACATATCTTGACAAAGTGCTTGCAAGATACGAGCGGAGAATTATAAAACTTAAGAAACAGCAAAATTCAACCTTGGTGCAATCGCAATCGACTCCACTGTGTTTCGAATCTATTGATGCGCATTCCATATCAGTTGTGAATAGCTCACAATTACCTATACATCCTTCCATATTACATTCTAATAATTTATCATCAGCAGTGAATCATTTTGGCTCTGCAGCAGCATCAGCTGCAATGCATTCGCAATCAATTCCATATCATGCGGAAGCAGTTCAGCAACATGCTATGCCGGCTCATGAAAATTTAATATCATCTGTCGAACTCCATCAAACAGGAGCGACGGAAAATGGTGAAGAACTGAAAACGATGTGGCATCAGATGTCAATAAACGGAAAACTATTACCACTGGGAAGCCCTCGTGAATACCTTGATAAAGTGCTTGCAAGATCCGAAAGAAGGGCTGCAAAGAAGAATGCGGTGGAACAATCCTCGAAATCAGCTGGTGAGCAATTACAATCTATGGTGCATTTGACACCAATTGATGGATACTTAGCATTAGCACCTATAAGTAATTTAGTATTAGATGCTCAGTCTTCATCACCAATTACTGAGCATCAGTTGACACAGGAAATAGAATATCTGATATCTGATGTGGAGCCTTCAGTTCAAGCTTTTCAATATCCACTATTAAATTCACAGTTTCCGATGGTTGACCAGGTAGAATCGTCTTCTGAAAAATTATCTTTTGTGCATCTTACAGTTTTAGAGGAGTCTGAATCATCTTCAGAATTTCCTGATGATGCGCATCAAATGCTTTGGAAATATAATCCAGTAACCTGGATGTTATCTCCGGTGCAGAATGAATCAGAACTGATAAATCCATAATTACTCATAAAAAATGAAGAAAATATGAAAATAAAGAAATGATTCTTCAGTGCCTTCTGAATTACCATCTCTGCAGTTAGGACCAGCATTGATAAATTCAAATCAACTCAATAAATTCAAAAAATAAGATGACAAGGACCAGCTGCTTGCTAAATGTCCAAATTATCGTAAGACCTGAGATCGTTTGAAGTTTGCAATTATCAGTTTGATATCATAAATAAAGCCAAAATAAAACTTTTGAGTGAATTCATCTTTGAAGTTTCTCATTTCAGTACTAATGCTAGGAAATATTATGATCTCTACATTTCAAAAATAATATATTCATGATATATCATATCCAACTCGTAGTTGGTTAGAAAGTTAGAAAAAAAGTAAAATCGTTTTCAATTAATGCCGGATTCTTTTATGTTTGTTTCTTTCCAAAAATTTCAAATTATTTGCTGATGTCAATCGTTTCATTTGTCTTCTGCAACCTTTGAAGCCGCCTGGACAGCAGCGCAGTTAAAATTAAGTTGAATTATGGTCAATTCAAAAATTATATTATTAGATATTTTCTACAGCCAAATTTTCCACTACGAAAAGTTAAATATAATCTAAAATGTTAAATAATATTTTCTTTGTAGAAGTGTCAATCAAAAGTTACCAGAAATTAATCGATTTGGCATCAAAACCTTATTTAAAATCATTAATATTTAGCAAAAATTATTGTGATGTAAACTTTTGTTCATTTCATGAAATAAAATTAATTACAACTATTTCTCATTCAAATAATCTTAATGAAATATTCTTTACAGTTATTGTTGAAATATCACAAACTTTTTAATACCACAGATGCAAAAATTATTTTATTAATTGATAATATTCATAATTTATTTATGCAAAATTTAATGACTGAGGGTATTTTTGGAATAAAATAAAACGAAAATACGAAAAAATTTGATACTTAAAACAGATATTACCAAATAATAATTAAATTTTACTAATATACTTTTCCTCGCTAATACGATGATTTTTTTCATAATTACAAATTTTATAAAAATCATTTTTATCTCTTTTGAAAAGTCAGCCAGTAAAGTATTGCCTTTTAATTGAATGAATGCGATCTCACATTTGTCTACTACTAAGTAAAAATTTCGAGTAAGAATAAGCAAATATTTTATGGCGTATGGTAGATAAGATGTGATCAAGTTCCACATTTTCTTTAATATGAATATATTGTAATTATATACCACTTTTTCACGTCTTTCTGGCAATTACTGATTGAGGCAGGAATAATTTGTTGTTTTTTTATATTTGCATAATGATTGTTTAATTAAAATCAGAATTGTGCATTGTTTGGAATACATTAACAGATTTATAATATGATGTATAGTTGTTGAATATAAACAAGTACGTGTAAAAGTTTACAATCACAGGCATTCTATTGTCGAAAAGTTTCTCATACTTACAGTGCGCAAAAAAAATGGTCAAGCATTTCAAAAGTATAAAAACTAACCAAATTTTAATGCAGAGAATTAATGAATAATTCGAGGAAAATAAATCTACTGTCCTAGAAGTTTGCTTAGATTCCATTGTACTCACCGACTGATTGCAGCTAAATGTTTAGTGATTGTGATATGTGATAATACTTAACCTTTCTGGAAGTAAGGGTGAAATGAATTAAATAAATGTCTTTCAATAGTATTGATATCGAAAAGTGTTGACTGATTGTACAGATAATCAAATCATCATTAATTGCATGTACAAAATAAATTCTCACTTCAGTTGCCGATAACATAAGAATAAAAAAATTCACAACTTTTCGAATAATAACAACTAAAATTTACAAATCAAACACTAAATAATTAAAAACTTTTGGAGCGAACAATTATTAATTTCGTGAAAAATTTACAAGTAGTGTTAAAAATTGTCATTTTATCAAGAACTACTCGAAATATCACTGACTATTGGGGAATGTTGCTGAAGAGTTTGACCCGTTGCTTTGCTGTTGCTGTTGCTGTTGCTGTTGCTGTTGCTGTTGCTCCACTGCTCCATTACTGACCATTATTATCCGAAATCCTCAAGAATTTGATATGTTCCTAATAATAATCTAGTTTTCCTAATAATTTATAAAACATTTGAACGTTCAGCAAAGTGAAATGTCAATTAAAGAACCAAGAAAAAAAAGAAACTCAAAATAATGGACAGGCGCATTTATTTAAGACAAAAGAAACAGAACGACGATACAAAATTGAGACTGCTAAGCATACATTGCATCTGAATACTCAGAAATACTATAAGATACATTGCTATACAGAAATGGCTACTGCATACATCCTTCTGCCAAATGTACTTCTGCCCTCTATGCTCATTTGTGCTTGTTGCATAAGTTGCTTTTAGTACTACACCTGAGATTTTTCTTTTTTCTGTTGTAACTTTCTTCTATGGATGTCTTCATCCTCAGAACAATATTCACAATCAATAGGTCATTCTGCAGTGCTCGAGCAATTATTTGCTTTCCAAGTGCCAAAGTCTGTGAATCGTTTCTTAAATGGTATAGATATAGTGCATGTACGCTCATTTGTTCTTAAACTGTCAGAATTCGTAGAATTGTTAAGGCATTCATTACAATCCTTCGTTGTTGCATGTCCCATCTTATGTGTTTCTAGGTTTTCGGAGCACGTGAAACTCTTCTTGCTAGCACCACGCTTCAATAGCTTCTCGCTTGCACCCTCACACTTATGCAAATCCAAATCCTTTTTCTGAGTGAAACCTTTCTTGCACAATTCACAATGAAAAGATTTGTTGCCGGTGTGGACGCGCATGTGGCGAACCAAGCTATGCCTAAAGGAAAAAGTTTTCATGCAAACATCACATTGAAAATGTTTATCTTCGTTATGCAGAATCTTATGACGAGTCATATCACTTTTTCTGGAGAAACTTTGCATGCACACATCACAGTGAAAACGTTTATCTTCTTTATGCATGAGTTTATTATGAAGAATCAAATTATCTTTACGAGAAAAATTTCGCATGCACACATCACATTGAAAACGGTTTGCTTTGTTATGCAGAGGTTTATGACGAGTCAAACTACTTTTTCTGGAGAAATTTCGCATGCACACATCGCATTGAAAACGTTTCTCTTCGTCATGCAGAATCTTATGACTAGCCACATTACTTTTAGTGGAGAAATTTCGCATGCACACATCACATTGAAAACGGTTTGCTTCCTTATGCAGAAGTTTATGACGAATCATAGTACTTTTCCTGGAGAAATTTTGCATGCAAACATCACATTGAAAATGTATTTCTTCGTTATGCACGAGTTTATGAAGAAACAAATTATCTTTACGAGAAAAATTTCGCATGCACACATCACATTGAAAACGGTTTGCTTTGTTATGCAGAGGTTTATGACGAGTCAAACTACTTTTTCTGGAGAAATTTCGCATGCACACATCGCATTGAAAACGTTTCTCTTCGTCATGCAGAATCTTATGACGAGTCGAA